TCACACAGGGCCTCGTGCCAGCACGCATGCGCGTGCCCCTCCCACGCCCTTTGGCTCCCCACCCCCACCCCAGGAGGCACAGGCCCAGGGGCACGTGCCAGCTGCCCAGAGTGCAGGTTATAGCCCCGCCCCTCCCGACCTCACATTCGGAAACCTCTTTCATTTGTCCTTAGGCACCTCCTATCCACCAATTGGCTGTGAGGTCCACTAGGCCCGCCCCCTTCCTCAATGCTGATTGGTTTAGACATCTATCGCGGACTTTCTCTCTGGAGCTCGGAGATGTAGGCGAAGCCAAGGGGGAGAAGGGCTTCGGTAACGCTACACACAGCCAGTCTCCAAGCAGTCACAGGCTTTATCCCTAGAGAGTCAGTATAGTGTCGTCATTTAGAGCTAGGCTCCAGAGCTACACTACCTAGGTTCAAATGCCCAGGCACATTTGAGCTCTGTGACCTTGGAAAAGTATGTAACTGCTCAGAGCTTCAGTTTCCTAATCTGTAAAATGGAGTTGGTATCTTTTCCTTATAACTGCTGTAAGTATGAAATGAGCCAACATACAATTTGAAAACAGCGCTTGGTGAATGGATGCCTGTAAATTTTGTTTCTCACTACACTTGTCCCCTCAGACTGTTTTTTTTTTTTTTTTTTTTTTTTTTTTTGGCCGCGTGGCTTGCGGGATCTCAGTTTCCTGACCAGGGATTGGACCCCGGCCCACAGCAGTGAAAGCCCAGAATCCTAACCACTAGGCCACCAAAATCAAGGTATGCCAGGGTATTCCCCATACGCTAATAAGCTATATTCTATATTACCTGGTAATGCTGCTTGCCCAATCTTCACTATCTTTCAAAGCCGAACTCCTTAGATACTACTCCTTCTAAGAAATCCCTCACCCTGAGTCCCCCCTCTTTCTTCTCCCACAGAGGTCCCCTGTGCATTCCTTAATCACAACCTTGATCCCTCCCTCAGCTTTGTGTCTGGATCTGCCTCCCCCAACACGCTGGGACAAGGCCAGGATCTGACCCATTCCTTTAATACTCATTCAGCAAGTACTTGTGAACAGCCATAGATGGTACTTGGTATTAATACTGTGAGTCAGGCCCTGTTCCAGGCAAGTGGATTGAGGCAAAACACAAACACAATAAATAAGATTCATCTCTATATCTCAGTATCAACCTACCTAGAAGGAATGAATAGATAGGAAGATCCCATCTGGGAGTGGAGCTACAGGAATATGACCAGGACTCTGAGGGTGGTGTGGGAGCCCCACCTGGTCCGCCAGAAGAGGGAGATCTGGGAAGACTTGAGGACTGAGATTAATTTGGGGCAGGAGGTGGGGGGCAGCGACCTTAGGTGGCCTTGGCTGTAGATGTAGGTTTTGGAGCTCAGACACACCCAACTGAAGTTGTTGGTCAGCCATAGGTTTAGGGAGGGGAGCAGAGGCCACAGATCTGTAAGATGAGCTGCGTGGGAGGGGCTCCAGGCTGGACTTGGGCCTTGCAGCATCTCTAATTTCCTTTATCTTTCTGCATCTTCTACTACCCTCTTTGCAGGGTAATGTCTGTAATGCAAAGACATATAAATTAGAAATTATGCCACAAAAACTGGCATAATTTGAGCAGGGGAGGCCCATGAGCAGATAGGCTCACTAAAGTCCTGGCACTGCCTTGGCGTGAGTGTCTCCTTACAGCTGAGCCTCTAATTTTCACATTTCCATCCTCCTTTTCTCTCCCCCACGTCAGAAGAAAATGGGAGCGTCCCTTCCTTCCCAGGTGCGTTTGAGCCCCCCCCTCAAGGATCCAAGCATGGACTCGTCCACTCACTCCCCTACCACCACGTGAATGAGACACACAGACACACACCCCCACACACAGTAGGTGGTTCCTTCCCCACATTTCTCGCCCTACAGCAAATGGTTTCTTCCCACGAGGAAGGGCGCTAGATTTTCCCCACTCTGCTTTCACGGTAGGGTGGTTTCTCCCTCCTCCCCTCCACGGGTGCTGGATGATCTCGCCTCCCCCCTCGCTCCGTGCCGCCGCCGCTGCCGGAGAGTGAGCGGCCCGGGCAGGAAGCGCCGGACGAGGCCACTGCGCGGCCGCCGTGGGGGAAGCAAGGCCAATTCCACTAAGTAAAGGTTTCCGCCCCGGAGAGGAGGCGGCGCCCGGGATCGGCCGCGCCCTCCGCTAGAGTGCGGGCTTCGGGACAGTCCATTGTTGCCTGAGGGGTAGGGGTGGGCGTGGCGGCGCCGCCTCCTCCGGGAACACTCCCCGGCTGACTGCGCTCGCTCAGCCTGCTGGAGCCGCGGCGCCAAGATGAGTGGAGAAGAGAACCCAGCCAGCAGGCCCACGCCGGTGCAGGACGTGCAGGGCGACGGGCGCTGGATGTCCCTGGTGAGCGACCCCGCCCGCGACACTCCGGAGTCCGGGGCTGGGGGCGGGGGGTGGGGGGTGGGGGGGAAGGCTCTGAGAGAGTAAGCTGGTTTGCGCTGCTCTCATTACGAGATTGGGAAACTGAGGGCAGTTGGCGTGGTGCCGCCTAAGGAAGCGGGGCGGGGCGGGGCGGGCCAGCAGCGCGCGTGCCATTGACTCCCCCTTTACGTCCCCAAAGCACCATCGGTTCGTAGCCGACAGCAAAGATAAAGAGCCCGAAGTCGTCTTCATCGGGGACTCCTTAGTCCAGCTAATGCACCAGTGCGAGGTGAGGCCCGTCCCTCTCTTCCTGCCCCACCCAGGCCTGTGCCCTCACTGACAGACCTGGACCAGAGCCCAGACCAGGCGGTGTATGGGGTACCCGAAATAGCCTCAGGTAACGCCGGGCACCCAGAATCTCAGTATAATGTGCCACATTCTACTGAGAAGGAAGTGTGTGTCCTGGCTTTGTCGTACTGGGTCTGTGTATAGTGAGACTTAAAATGAGGCTTCGTGCAAGATTGCCTAGGATGAGGCTCTTTGTTTGCTTAAATTAGTGCCCAGCCCTAATGGATTTCCACAAAGCTATAGTTATTTCCACAAAGTGAGGGTCAACGGTAATAGGTCTCTACTAAGGGAGCTCAATTATATCTTTCCATTAAGCGACGTTAAACCATGACTTTCCTCAAAGTGAGGTTCAACTGGAATGCTGTTGGTTCGATGCCTGGCTCAAGCAGAATAGGCTTCCGTGAAGGGAGTCCTGCTTCCATGGGGTTTTGTGGAAGTGAGACTATAATGGGTTTGCATAAAGTGAGGTTTGACCATATTGGGGTTTGCTCAAGGTGGGATTTAACCAGACTGCTTCCGTAAAGCAAGGCTCTAACGTGATGACATTTGTTTAACCTTTGGATCGAGAGTGGTGGTCCATGCTGACAGTGCCCCTGTGCCCACACCGCTCCTCTAACGTGATGACATTTGGTTAACCTTTGGATCGAGAGTGGTGGTCCATGCTGACAGCGCCCCTGTGCCCACACCGCTCCTCTAACGTGATGACATTTGGTTAACCTTTGGATCGAGAGTGGTGGTCCATGCTGACAGTGCCCCGTGCCCACACCGCTTCTTGCCCACAGATCTGGCGGGAGCTTTTTTCCCCTCTTCACGCACTTAACTTTGGCATTGGCGGTGACAACACGCAGCACGTGCTGTGGCGTCTGGAGAACGGGGAGCTGGAACACATCCGGCCCAAGGTGAGCAGGGCTTGGGTGGGCAGCTAGAGCACCCTTAGCCTGCCCCTTCACCACTGCTTCATGCCTCTCTTTCCACAGATTGTGGTGGTCTGGGTGGGTACCAATAACCACGGGCACACCGCAGAGCAGGTGGCTGGAGGCATCAAGGCCATCGTGCAACTGGTGAACCAGCGGCAGCCCCAGGCCCGGGTCGTGGTGCTGGTGAGAGAGTGGGAGGGTGGGAAAGGAAGAACGGCAGTGTTCTGGGACCCCTTCCGGTGTAGCCACAGCTGCACGGTTCTGGGCAGCCTAGCACAGAGCAGTGGTTGAAGGCAGAA